CTAACGACTGCAGATGCAGCCGGGACCAACGGCTTGACGTGCTTTCCGAAGCACGGAGGAACTCAAGATAGTAAATTTTTGGTCACCCATCCAATGACCGACCACTGCGAAAGTTGCTTAACTTCAAAGATCGCAGCCGAATGCTCTAACCACTTGCGCCATCGAGCTCCTCATGTAGTAATGGTGGTTGCAATGGTAGTGACATGATTTTATGTAAATGTTGCTACTTCTGTTAAATGCCGCCTATTATTCTCATCAGCTAAAAGATTTCCTGAAAAAAATATTAGATGATTCACAATTTGAATAAAGTATCATCAGTTAGATTTATGATCTCGTTATGTCTGAGTTAATTAAAACTTAGCCACTTTCGGAATGCTTGATCCTTGATGATAGATGGGTGACCGGCTTCCGCAACAAATAGACAGTGAAACAGAATGTCGTGTTGGTGTACTCGAAGTAGTTTTATATTCAAGCTTCCTAAGTATTTACATTTACGCACAATGCGAAGATACATCTCTAACTAAGGATCGTTCCACTCGGATCGAACTCTGAGATCAGACAGAGCGCGCAGACATGTCAATCTAAGTATCTATTCTCTGTTGAATAATTCAGCAAATGGACAACAAATTAGGCTGGACATGGTTTGGGGTGATATCAGGACATAATGATAGGAACAGGCATAGGAATAATGCAATAAAAAAACAAATATATTTTATATTATGGATGACAGGATATACAAACAATTGATATTAATTAACTGGATAATGCAGTTTGCGTATTTATAATAGAGGATATTATGAGTTTTATAAATAATAAATATTTTATACATATGTATTTTATACTGCTTTGAATATTATGTCTTTGTCGGTCGTCAATTAAATTTGCTAAGGTACCCTTTAAAAACACAAATTTTGCCTATTAATTTTGACTATTACATTAACCATATATAAATATAGATGACAATTTTCCATGTGTCGATCACAATGTATGATCTTTATCTATTCTAATGCAGGGATTAAAGACAAATATTATAGTTGTGGCATACAAAGAGCCTTAGAGCTTGGTGCTAAGTCTAGAGACTGGCTAGAAATTAAGTCTGTCTAGACAATTGCGATAATTTATAATTCACTTATGCACTATCAAGAAGCTTGGCGGTTATCGCTGCGGGTTTTCGCGGCGCAGTGCGGCTTTAGGGATATAAATTATGTTATAAGTCAAAAAATTCTGCAGTTTGTCAGACTTAGCGGCAACGACCTGTGGAATCTTCAATGCCTTCCACATAAACTGAAGACAGATTTATTAAGGAAGGCAAAGAAAATGGTGGCATCTTGAATTAACGAAAAAAAAGCTACAATTTATTCGCGTGCGAATTGTAGCGTCGAAATTTTAATGCGGTTATTAAAATTTTATAAATCACGTTTATTTTTGTCAATACACATAATACGGGAGACATTTTAAGTTTAGAAAGTATTTGGTGTATTCTAACATGATTCTCTAAACCTAAACTTAAATTGGACAACAGTGTATTATTGTCATTCTCTATACAGAATGAAAAGGAGAGACTGATGTTAAATTTAGTTTTAAGTTTAGAGAAACAACACCTTTAACGATTTTGCTAAGTGAGGGCCGAATTTTATTTATCGTATTTCTTTTCATTTCTATAACTGCGTTGGTCTTAATTTATTGTTAAGTATGGTACCAACGCAATAATCACCAATTTCCAATAAAATGCGGTATAATTAACAATTTTAAATAAATTGGTAGCTTTATAACATCTTGGTTATACGTGATCTCATCATCATATGCCACGCATTAGAATAAAAAAAATGGTTAACTGTAAAATTTTCCCAGCGTGTTCATTTGTATCTGCGGCTATAGTTTTTAATTGAACGTGAGTCATATTAAGAGGTCTCTTGAAAAATCATTTCTGACATCGAATTATTTGGTTGTATTTTAAATTCTACATAACGTCAATCATACCCAAAACTTGATATTAAATAAAAGCAATAGGACATTACCTAACGCGAATCACGTTAGTCAACTTAATAAGTTTTAAACAAACATTTTTGGCGCGTAACAACATTGATTGAGAGATCAATCGTTTTTTTTAATTAGGTAGGTATGGCTGCTGTGAGGGTGACGCATTTTGCACCCAGACGTCCTTCTGAGAAGGCCAGAAACGAACACCGCGGGTGTTGCTGTTGTCCCATTATTTTATTTACAATTTATGGTCCCAGTAGTTGTAGGTCGAGTGTATGTAACAGCTAACAGGTATTCATCTTGTTAAAATATTATTGATAATTTTTTTGTTCACATTGCTGTTGCGCAAGAGGTAGATATATTAAATGAAAGGAATAAAAGTCGATTTCGCAGAGATCTTGGCGACAAATTTTAGTACAATACCTACAGGTTCAAACATCTTATTCTTTCCTATCCGTATCTTGCGCAGAAAAAAACATTTCTTTTCCCTCAGCACCGGCAACGTATGGGTACCTTTGGCGCTGCAAGTGTCCATCCATGGGCGGCAATGACCGCTTACCATGAGGTGAACTGTCTGCCTGCATAAACATAAAAAACCCGTCCCATTAATTATTGTCTTATTCATACAATGTTCATAAATCCACGAGTGGCTACTTTGCCTACTCCCATTCGGACAAGAAACCTTACGTTACAACTCGCAAACAATGCAGCAAACTCATTCTAGACTTCAAAACGTACTATTGCATGAAAGCGGGCTGTAAATGTACCTTTAGGTTCTAAATAGACTCGTTGAAGTATGTAGCAGGCAATAAAGACTAATTGGACATCTCGCAAAAAGGCCGTGCTCTAAGTACCAACGACCGAAGCAAGTTCGCCCCGAGACGCTTCGATCCTATGAAACATTCATGATGCAATGATTGAGTCGTTCACATCATCGATAACAGTTAATTAGAGCTTCAAAATGGCGGACAGTTAATTTGATGCCGATTGGATGAAAGCTCGATATACGATAGGTTAAATTGTTTAAATTCAAATTATTTTGTCTTGAAATATCCATTCGTACAAAGTACGTAAGTATCATCAGAATATGTTGTTGTAAATAATAACGAATTATAACTTTGAAACTACACGTTGAACCAATAGAATATTGATCATTTGTAATTGCAGTTACGTTCACATGCAGTAATTGTTTTGGAAACAATAAAACGCACGTGTTCGCCTCAAGCGTCTTGCGCTACGTATGCGCGTTCAAGCGGACATAAAATCATTTCTTTTTTCCTCATCTCTGCTCGTATACACAACGTTTTTCTTACGAGACCTGTCAGAATTTAATTCTTCGGATTCTCGGATTTAATTCCAATACGAAATACATTATATTTCAAAAAGCCTTGTCTGATGTTTCATAATGATGTTATTGAATTTTCGACAAAAGAATCCCGGTCAAATGAAGTGCTGCATTTATAGTTTGAAATTTTTATTTATTATACAGTTTTAGATACAAAATCTCCTTATTATGGTTTCACGTGAAAACAACAAAAACAGTTTATTTAAAGGAGAAGGTTAACCCGCGCGAAATCTGTTAAACTTGTTCCATCCAGCAACGGATTCTAAAACTTTCTTCCTATTCAGAGTGAAATCTCTATACGCTCGTCCTTGTCCCACCTGTGCGTTCAGAGGACACCATTCCTTGTGCGAAAAAGACGGAAGAACATGAAGACGTCACGCGGGGCGCAGCCGCGCGAGTGTTCTTGCACTTATTTTATTTATTTTGTATGCCGCCATGTCTTTTTTTTTGTTTGGTTTTCTCAATGCTACGTCTTTGTTCACGTTCGGGGGCGCGCAATCGTCCGTGCCTGGTAAGTTGGATAATTTCTTTATTCTGTTCGGCCCACCCGACAATTTTCTGGCCGCATTATTATGAACTTGATTTGCTTAATAATTTTATTACTGAGCGCATTGCGAGAGCTTATTGTTGTTTTGTTTTTGAGGATTTGCGCTTTTAGCGGTCGCTTTCGTTTCTTGAGCGATAGTAAACGTGGGAATACGTATTGTTAGTTGTGTGTGTGTGTTTTGTTTTTCCTCTTCGAATTTGTTTTGATAATGTTCCGTCGATGTGGTAGCAAGGTTTTACTAGTAACTTCGTATTCGTAGGTAGTAATCTCAGGATAGACTGTTATGTTATTTTTTGTTTGAAAGCGTCCAGACACATTACGTCACACAATGCGGTCGGAGTTGGCTCTTTTTATTGCGTGTGGAACCCCACTGCTAAGCCTTGAGGTTCGCACCGAGATGTCCGCTGCGATTGGAATACCTTGAATAGGGCTGAAAAAAGGACATCTTTTGTCGTCGCTGGACTCGGCCGTGTTATTGTCATGCGGACCCGCTTTAGTCTTGACGTGATCTTCGGTTAGTTGTTCGGTAGATTTGTACTAGAATGTATTCTTTTAAGTGGTTTTTTAAAAAGTTATATATTTAAAACGTGCGTGAATCCACATGTGATTCTTATATTGCATTATAGAATTCACAAAAACGCATAGGTACCAAATACATTATCAGGTTATTCAGCGGAATACAAATTTGGTGATGTTGTCAGTTTTTGTTTTGCTATCGTTATCACAAATATCTAAAGGCTATGGTGACCATTTACCATCATGCGGACCACATGCTTTTTATTTTAACATATAATCAAATTACTTGAAAGCAAAGGATGTTAAGTCCATACATCCTTTCAAGTAATAAAAAAATAATTAACATGTCTTTTTTGTGTCACTAAACAGGCTCTGCCAGAATAACAGCGTTGGTGCGACACAATATCGCATCAGCTAATGCTGAGGCTGGGTCCTGGATAGCCCTGTGTTTTTTGAATTTGTATTTGTAAATGTGTAATATCTTAAATATGCGGGGTAATAAAATATATTCTATTCTATAAATGTAGACAATACCTACCTTTTTATATGAGTTCTATTGTTACTGAGCTCTTCTCATACGATTTTCTATTAAACTGGCCTTCTCTTCTACAGATTAGCAGCAGCAGCGGCGGCTGCGGCGGGCGCGACCAGTGAGCTGAGCTACCTCGCCGCCCTCCACCCCGCCTATCGACCTGTGCCCTACGACCATCCCTTATATGGTGCTAATGCCTTAAGAGGTACGAGATTTAAAAACTATAATAGGATAAATCATCATTTTTTTTCTACAGAATTCGAAGGCAGACGGGTCGCCTGTACCCTTAGTACGAGTTTTACAATTACGAAAACTATGATAATTTTCGTGAGCTCGCACTCGTACTAAGGGTACTGATGTTAAGTGGCCACCATCGCACATGGACATGAGCAATGCCAGTGGTACAGACATACCACTGCCTTTCGAGGAACACTCTATTTAATAAAACTAGTTTTTACGGGTTAATGCACGAAACTTTATTTATTTATTGACGTTTCGTAGCCTTTACAGGCTTCGGCGTCAGAATAAAACTTTTATTTTGTAAATATATTTTGTAAAAAAAAAGTTTTATTCTGACGACGAAGCCTGTAAAGGCTACGAAACGTCAATAAATAAATAAAGTTTCGTGCAGTAACCCGTAAAAACTAGTTTTATTTAATGAGTGATGTGCGTGAAAACCTAAGAAACAAATACACTCTATTTAAGTCTCTCTTGTTTTTTTTTGATTCCTCCCAGGCGGGGGAGCGGATGAGAAATCCTCATGGTTAATTGGATACCCTGTAGCCGGCTGCATGGTTATGTCAGACTCTTACTGACTAAAACACCCGTAGTTCATGCTTATGGCCAGAAGGGCCTTACAAGCTTCATCTGAAGCGATCATCCCCTGAGAGGGGGATGATGCAGTGCCTCTCTTGAAACGGACCATGTTTTAGTACTGTGAGAATATCGTGGAGGGGAGTTCATTCCATAATTAATTATTAAGGTAGGCTTTAATGTTAGTGGAAACGTTTAGAAGTTGAAATAATAAAAAGATTTTTAGATTTTATTGTTTCATAATACGAGTAACACTGATTTACTAAGCTACCTCATAAGAGAATTCATAAACACAAATTTCACAGACAATACAAATTCGTTAAAAGGATTACGTTCACGGGGTAGTCACGTGGTAACCATTTTTCCTTGCATTTATAGGTGCCTTGTATTTAAAGTTGACAGCAGCAGAAAACCTAACGGTTACACAGTTTTTAATTCCGACAATTAAGAATTCATTTAACAATCACAGAAATATCAATAGTAAATTGGTTTCAATGGATTATTAACATTCCTTCCATTGGATGTTCATACACAATATGTTATCACCTGCTGCGCGTGCGCAGGCCCACGACTCTCGCTTGTGGTCACACACTGTGGTATACGAGTGTTTCATGCTCGATTCATATTACTCGTTAATTAAAATATTATACCAAATACGTTGATCGTAAGCACAGGTTGTATTTTTAGCCACAAAATTACTGTAAAAGAATATTTCATGGTAATTTGTGGGTCTTTAACATATATTCGATTGTCGATGTAATTATTTTCTTGATATTCGATTAATAAGGATCATCAATGGTTGACATCAGTTTCTTTAATAAATGTGTTATGTTAAACATCAACTGAAGCTCTTTAGAATGATTCTAAACTATATTTTACTTAAGCCCAGTAATTTATGCTAACAATTTTTGAACTCAAAGAAAGTCACCTTCGTACATCATACCTATCTTATTTATGTATAAAACTCAAAGGTGACTGACTGACATAGTGGTCTATCTATCAACGCACAGCCCAAACCACTGGACGGATCGGGCTGAAATTTGGCATGCAGGTAGATCTTATGACGTAGGCATCCGCTAAGAAAGGATTTTGATCAATTTTACCCCCAAGAATAAGAATAAAAAGAATCATAGATGAATGTCATTGTGTATAAATACAAGCCTGAGAACAAAAACTGTAGTCTACACTTCAGCTCTACACCTAAGCGAAGCGAGGGCGTGCCGCTAGTTTACATAATAAAACTATGAAGCAAATATTCTTTGTAAACTGGATTTAAGATAAAAGGCATAAATATTTACAATTCAATCAGTTTATTCCACTGTTTCAGCAACTTATCTCTACATCCAAATGGATCAAATAAGTTTTCAATATCTATTAATACACATTTTTGTTGTATGTGTGAGCAAATGCTAATAACTTAACCAAAACTTGGTTCTGATTGTATCTTGATTGTATCGTTGCTCGCGGGTGTGAGAGCTGATTGGTTCGATTGTTTGATGCCGCGTCGTTTGATTGGCTTTTATCTATTAGATGGAAGTGTAGAGGGGGCGAGCCAGCGACTTCGGTTCCCGTACTAACGGTCTATGACCACCCTTCTAATATCTTTCTGTGTTCTGTAGTATATACAATGAACTATTAAACATTATTATTCCTTATTAAAATAAAAACCTTCTAACAGAACTTTTGACCAACCATCCCGCCACTGGTCGTTAAAAAATCATCTTTGCTATCGTACAAAAAAAGAATCGCTTTCAACCATCCAGACTCTCAATATCATTTAAGTTGAAACAATTCCACCGTATGTCCGAATTAGGTTATTAAAATGCATTCACGCGAATAATACTCGTGTTCCCGACACTGTTTGTTCGCTGCACTTCGTTGGCTGTAATGCTATCCTCCAATTGATGCGATAAATCTGAAACGGTACACCCACATGGCGATTTAAACGCATACTTGGGCGACAATCGCGAAGGCCTACGTCGCACTGGAAGTTTGAAACGCGTCCCGCCCGCTCCGATCTACGCGCGGATCCATGCCAATGTGATCACGTATAGATTTAACATGCACTACCTTCTGTGTACAATCTTGATTTTCGGTTGTTTACGGCTGCGCTAGGCAAGATGAATCATGAGCTTGTGTAACAGCCGTGGTATTTTTTCAAAAAAAAAAATTTTGGCGCTTTGACACAATTTTCATAGTCACTTGCTTCTGTCATTAGGGACAATTTTGTAATTTTTATTTGTGTGCTATTCAGCAAACAGTCACGAGCGCTAACGAAGTAAAATCTTGTCCATCGAGATTGGTCAGAGCAGTTTGAACTATTTTTTGATTTATGATGGTGGTCAGTCGTTATTATTTCTGTGCAACAAGGACCATGATAAAGCCACACTGATGCCAAATTTAGCATCGTTGAAGTACCTGATTTATTTTAAGCGTATTTTCTATGATATATGTCACCCACCTTGCAAAGGATAGAACTATGGTGCATGCAAATTTAAGACTTACAAGCTTTTTAAGCCTTTTTACAAAATTGCGCCACTGCCGTACTGATCGGCGCGTAGGTAGATTTGCACTAGTATACATTGCATTTTACGGATGATGTTTCGAGTCTTATAAAATATTTTTTAATGAACTAATTATAAAAATATATACATATTTCAGTAGTTCAATGATGGCAGATTAGTTTTATGAGGTAAACCTGCATTAGTCTTTTTGATAATTAATAAGATAGATGGAAAATCAAAATTCTAATACATTACGTTACAACAAAAACATATTTCTGACGTCGTAGTAATTAATTTGATCTAATTTATTGTACATTATTGAGAGATTGAGGCGTTAGAAGTTGTTATCGTTGTATCGTTTTTTCCGTAAACTAGCTGCAGTAGAACGATAAGTACAAAAAAAGGAAAATAGTATTTCCAAATATTCTACATTAACTTACAATAGGAAGAATAAATGTACTGTTTACTTCTACGGGAAATAGTCAAAATCTTTTCTATGGGGGTAAAAGAGGCGCTCAGAAATTACGATTTTTTGCAAAAAATGTGAAAGGGCTCTTAAACCGCGCGCACGACATTTTGCTGTGTGTTATAGTCTGTGATGTGCCTAAAATTACTCGACACAAAAAACTCATAATGTACTCGGTCCCAGAGATTTTAATGACAACAATATTATGTTGAGTTGAGAACAAGTTATATCCACGATGCGCCGTAGGGATTGTATTATTTAGCGTGTGCAAAAGTTTATTTTTAATTTCGTTCTGGTGAATTTTATTAGAGCATATTTTTTTAAATAATTGTTTATTTACACCGCGGGTAGCTTTGCGTCGATTAATTATATCATGCTGTTCTTGGCATTTTGCAGGTCAATGGATTTAGGGACTACATTTGGGAGACTTGGATAAAACATCTATGTATTTAGTTTATAGGGGAAAATGTGACAGTAATGGTAGTTTTGTAGTAGTGTTTTAGGTAAAGATAAAACTTAATCGACTAACGGACATTGTTTTTTAATAAAAAGTTGAATTCAAAAGTCCACAGATTCGAAGGAGAAAACCCACTCTCAATTGAAGTATGAAAACGAACATGTATCCAGTCTGAAGAGAGAGTGAGACAGAAAAGGGCATAATAATCACAATGCCAATGTCCATTTAACCATTTCAACTCTCAAAGGCTCAATAAAAGGATTTATTCAATGCACATCTCATAAACGTTCAGACCACAGTACAGTATCGGCACAATTTATCTACACACCAAAGTGTTAATTAGATTTTGAACTCACGACGCTACCATCCACAGTAACGCGCTCATGGTGTGCAAATTTAAACTGTCTTGCCACACTCTTAAGATGCATTATAAAGTTTAAAGCTTATAAGATGACAGATACGCGAAACTGGCTATTAAAGGAAATGTTTAAGTCACGGGTTGAAATTGGCATGCATCGAATACGCAAGCATTTCTATCATCAATTAAGGAGTTTCATTTCTACTTCTAGGTACGTTTGGTATTAGGAATTCTTTCGATAATGAATCGAACTAAGCTATGGTAAGTATGGCGAATATAAATAGTAAATAGGTACATTTAAGATTTTAAATTGTTCACTCCTCAATAGAGAAATATTATGTTAACCTAAGCCTTAAAATACCAATACAATTTCAGCCAAGCCAAGCCAATTAAAGCCAAAAAAAATTAAGAAAAAGTGAAACAACTAGGTTCTTATAATTGTTATGAAAAACGACTGAAATATGTTTTTGCTACAGTTGTTTTTTATAAAATATGTTTCTAAAGCGGAAATGTAATACTATAAGTGAAAACAAGTTATTTATCTACAGCACAATGTTTTTCTAGTTTGTCAGATTACCTACCTATAAGGACTGTGTGTGTTACTGGT